AAAAAAAAAAAAAAAAAAGAGAGGTCGGCTTATCATTGAAAATACCCATGCAAAGCAGCACACATGTTCCTTCCTTGTATAGAAATAAAACTTGAAATTGTACTTGAATTGGTGTGCTTGTTCCAAGATTTATTTACATTTCAGATGCAGCATTAGAATGAAACAGGAGTTCTTTGTAGGTAAAAGAAAGAAACCTGGTTTAACTAAATTAAAGCATGTGAAAAGCAAATAAAAACCTGAGATGAGAAATTCTGCGCAAAATGAACCCCTTAAAATGTTTCCCAAACCTATTGTTCCATCTTTTAAAAATAGTCTGAACCAATTACACCAGTCAAAAAAGGAACTCCGAAAAAACAGAGGAACAATTAGATAAAATGTTACCTAAAAAACCTGAACCTTAATTCGGAACAGAGGCATCCATAGACACTTGCCTCATTACTGTCTACTGCTAAACTTGGAGCATTCCAGGGCCTTTGTTAACTGCTTGATATGCATAATGGAATATTTTCAAGTTAAAAAAATATGTAATGCAGAATACCCCAATATTTGACTTAGCAAAACAATGCAAAATATTTCCAATTTTTAAACTATTAGGTGAAGTGATTCTCAAATGACAAATAGCAAATACTTTCCAAGCCTCTGAAGCAGGCCTTCTTAACCAGCAGCATGCAGCAGAATTACCTGAGGTGCTTTAAAAAGCTGGTTAAATGCATGGGCCGCAACTGGGTGATTTTAAAGTTACCAGTTTAAAAAAATTATAACACTAGTACATGGTGATGATAAAAGATAATTCAAGCAGTACTATGGGAGGATATAAAATTAAAAGTACAAATCTTCCTGACCCAACTCCTCACAGGTAATCACTATTACCAATTTCTTTTTTTTTCTTTTTTTCTTTTTTTTCACTGAGGAAGATTCGCCCTGAGCTAACATCCGTGCCCATCTTCCTCTACTTTATATGGGACGCCACCACAGCGTGTCTTGACATGGCTTGACAAGCGATGTGTCGGTGCGTGCCCAGGATCCGAACCTGCAAACCCCGGGCCGCCAAAGCAGAGTGCGTGAATTTAACTGCTACGCCCACTATTACCAATTTCTTCTGCATATTATATATTTTTAATTTATAAAGGAGATAACACTATACATGTTCTGCAAATGGCATCTGTCACCTAACAATATATTTGAACATCTCTCCATATCAGAACATCTAGATCCACCTTGATCTTTCAATAGCTGCCTATTATTCCATTTTTTTAGTTGTATTATCAGTTATTTAAGCAGTCCCTTGTTAACATTTATATTATCTCTCTTTTTTCTTGCTATTACAATTAACATAATGAACATCCTCATACATTCATTTCTTATTTTCTTTTTGTGAGTATATAGTATGGTAGGCACAATTCTAAAGTGACCTACAATGACCTACACCTTTGTATAATCTGTGACCCTTGGAGTGGGTGGAACTTGTGAATGTGTTGAGACTCCCATGATTGCATTTTGCTAAGACAAAAGCAAGATTCTCCTAGGTGGGATTTTTCCAGCTGGCTGATCACAGAAGAGGTGGGCAGAGAGACGCATTCAGGCTGCCTGGAAGAAAGCAAACATCCATGTTGTGAACTACCTGTGGAGCCATGTGGCAAAGAACTGCAAGCAGTCTCTAGAAGCTGAGGGTATTCCTCAACCAATAGCTAGAAGGAAAAGGGGGACCTTAATCCTACAGTCACAAGGACTGCCAACAACTAGTGAGCTTGGAAAAAGACCCCAAGCTCCAGATGAGAACTGCAGCCCTGGCAACACCCTGATTTCAGCTCAGTGAGACTCTGAGCAGAGAATCCAACCACATTGCGCCTGGACTTCTGATCTACGGTAACTGTGAGATAACAAATGTGTTGCAGCTAAATTTGTAGTAATTTGTTATGCAGCATTAAAAAACCAATACAATCTGCACGACAAATTCCTAGAAGTCAAGTTGCTGCGTCAAAAGGTTTTACAGATATTGCAAGATTATTCTTCAAAATACTTTACACCAATTTAAACACTCACCAAAACAGCAGACCTAATTTTTTTTAACTTCCTGGTTATTATCTACTGATTTAAAGTGTTTATTCCAATAAGTCCCAAAGGCTGGAATGATCTGTATCTTGCTCACTTGTAGCTGACTTTTCTGTCAGAGAGATTTTTTTTAAGTGTTCATACTCTAAAATTTCTTGAAATAAGAATGACCTTCCCTTCCAGGCTCTACTAGGAGGAAGCTGTCATTACAACCACCAACTCCAGCGTAGGGAGCTATCGGTAACAAGAGTTAATATGAGCATATGGAACGCAATCAAACTGCAACCTACCTATAAGTAAAGGGATTTGGGTGGGGGCGGTTTGGATAAACTCTGAGTCTCTGAAAACAAATTTAAAGGTTTTGTTTTCAAATTTGAATATTCTTTTTGGAATAAAGCCTTAACTATTTTATAATATATTCCCCTCCAAGATAATAATCTGAAGAAAAATCTGAATAGGACACAAAGTGAAATCCAAGATCAAACTATCAGTTACATGAACACTAAAGTGTTTTCACCTATTCAGGATTATTTGAGGAAAGAGGTAGATTTTAGAGCCAGACAAGCCCCAAAAGATTTATTCCTTATTTTATAGAGAATATGCTATTTCAGAAGTCAAAAAAAGTAGCATTTTGGTATTTTTTTATTTCAGTATTTTCCTTTCACTATAAAAATTCCTTGGAGTATAAACTGATATATAATTTTTTGGAAGGGCTATTTAGAATATCTATCAAAAGTCTTTAAAAATGTTCGTGCCCTCTGACCCAGTAATTCTCTTCTGAGAGTTAGTCCTAAAGATACAAATTATAGATGATCATGCATTCAACAAATTAATTCAAACAATATTTATTAAGCATCTCCTATGAGTTATTAGAAACTGTTCTGGGAAAACAACAGTGAACAAAACACGTCCCTGCCATCATGGAGCTTAAATTCTGGCAGGAAAGAAAGACAATAAACAAATAAATACATAAAAAATTCATAAATTTTATATATAAAATATATAAAAATTTCAGGTGTTAATAGATGCTATGAAAAAAAAAGCAGAGTATGAGAGTAAAATGATGTTTTGTTTTGTTTTGTTTTGTTTTGTGAGGAAGATCAGTCCTGAGCTAACATCCACGCTAATCCTCCTCTTTTTGCTGAGGAAGACTGGCCCTGAGCCAACATCTATTGCCAATCCTCCTCTTTTTTTCCCTTTTTCCCCCCAAAGCCCCAGTAGATAGTTGTATGTCATAGTTGCACACCCTTCTAGTTGCTCTATGTGGGACGCGGCCTCAGCATTGCTGGAGAAGCAGTGCCTCGCTGCACGCCCGGGATCCAAACCCGGGCCGCCAGTAGCGGAGCATGCTACTTAGCGGTTAACCGCTAAGCCACGGGGCCGGCCCAAATGATGAGATTTTAATTTAGAAAAAGTAAGCAGGGGGGCTGGCCTGGTGGCGCAGCGGTTAAGTTCGTGCGCTCCACTTCGGAGGCCCAGGGTTTGCAGGTTCGGATCCCGGGCACGGACCCATGCACCGCTTGTCAAGCCATGCTGTGGTGACGTCTGATATAAAGTAGAGGAAGATGGGCACGGATATTAGCCCAGGGCCAGTCTTCCTCAGCAAAAAGAGGAGGATTGGCAACAGATGTTAGCTCAGGGCTAATCTTCCTTACAAAAAAAAAAAAAGTAAACAGGGAAGAAAATCTGTGAAGTGATGACATGAATGAAGTGCGGATGTAGATCTTATAAGCAGAGATACCAGGGGAAACAAGAAACAATAAGTGCAAATGCCCTGGGGCAAGTTCTCCCAAACATCCCCAGTACAGTCACCATCAGAATGAATGTTAGTTAAGAGCCAATTGTGAGTACCTAGATTCTGGTCAAAGAAAGCTGTGAGGTTTTTTTTTTTTTAAATCAGCTAGTATACAACATTTTGACTTTCAAAAAAATTCTACCTTTATATATATGTACGATGGAATACCTCTCAGACATAAAGAAAGACAAAATTGTCCCATTCGCAACATGGATGGAACATGAGGGTATTATGTTAAGTGAGATAAGCCAGTCAGAGAAAGACAAACACCATATGATTTCACTGATGTGTGGAAGATAAACAAATACATGGACAAAGAGAACAGATTAGTGGTTACTAGAGGGGTAGGGTGTTGGGGGATGGGCATAAGGGGTAAAGGGGCACATATATATGGAGACTGACAAATAATAATGTATAACTGAACTTTCACAATGTTATAAACTCTTATGACACCAATAAAAAAACAAAAAAATTCTAGCTTTACTAATAAACTTTTTACTATTACAGTATTATTTATAATTAGAAACAACCTAAATGTCCTACAGTTGTTACTAAATCTGCTACATACATGACAGTGCATTCCTAAGATGGAATACTTTAAAAACATTAAAATAACATTTTAAAATCACGTTAAAAAATATTTAATGATATGGAAAAATGCTATTATATAAAGTGAAAAGAGCAATTTTTTAAATAGTACATATGAGCCCAATTTTATTTTAAAAATATATACAGATATATATATTTGAACTACTTCATAACAATTTTTATATATACAGAAAAGAAGACCACATCCCAAATAGTCAGATAACAGTGTGACTACCTTTAAGCAGTATGACTGTGCACAACTTTTATCTTCTTTGGACTTTCCTGTTTTCCAAATATACCAAATGTATTACTTTATAAACATAGTGGGGAACCCAAAAGTTATTTTCAAAATAAATATCTTAAAAGGTGGAATCTTGGTTCTCACCAGAAAAAAAATAGAACAGAAAGCATTTGAGTTCCATTAGTTTCTTTTTTCTTTATGAACATAAACTCACTTTGGGACTGGCTAAAGGGTAACTAGAAAAGTAGAAGTAATTATACTTACATTCCTGTTTGAAGGTAAAATATTCTGTAAGATGCCTGCATTCATGATTTCCCCGAAGCAGAAACAATGTTTTGGGATGATTAATCTTTAAACTCCATAAAAACAGCACACACTACAAGATAAATACAAAGATAAAATTTTTATATGTGACCACAATAACACATAAAGATGATTTATATAAATTCAAATAACTTGTAACAGCATATCTCATTGCTATTCCCAAGTAGAAACATGAAACCTTCCAGCTTCTGAGTGTGATATGCCGTTGCCCTAGAATTTGTCAGAGCACAGAGAGTAGCATTCATAGGAATCCCTCCTTAATTTCTGTTCCCATGTTCTATCCAAAAATCAGGAACTCTGTGACAAAGCCTAAGGTGTGTATATATACACACCTTAGTCCTAAAACCTGTATTTTATTTAATGGAGAAACACTAGAGACACTTCCACAGAAACAAGGCAAGGATCTCCACTATCTCTACTACATTCAACATTGTAGTAGAGGTTTTAGCCAATGGAATTAGACAAAAGAAATCAATTAGAGGCTTAATTAAGAATGGATAAAGAGGGCCGGCTCCGTGGCTTAGCGGTTAAGTGCGCGCGCTCTGATGCTGGCGGCCCGGGTTTGGATCCCGGGCGCGCCCCGAGGCACCACTTCTCCGTCCAGCGCGAGGCCGAGTCCCACGTACAGCAACTAGAAGGATGTGAACCTATGACATACAACTATCTGCTGGGGCTTTGGGGGGAAAAAATGAATAAATAAAATCTTTAAAAAAAAAAAAAAAAAAAAAAAGAATGGATAAAGAAAAAAATAAAACTATCTCTATTTGCAGATGACATGATCGTATACCTGAAAAACTCCAGAAAAATTAATAAAACTAACTCAAATAATAAAAGAATTCAGTAATGGGGGAGGATATAAAATTAACATAAAAAATCAATAGCCTTCATATACATAAACAATAAACAGGACACAATGGTAGAAAAAAACTCCATTTACAATAGCAGCAAAGACTAAATACATAGGAATAAGTTTACTAAGAAATGTGCAAAACTCACACAGGAAAAACTTAAAACACTCCTGAAAGACACAAGAGTAGATATGAACAAATGGAAAGACATTCCCTTTCTTGGATAGGATGATTCAACATTAAAAGATTATAGTTCTTCCTAATTTATTTTATAAAATCATTCTAATTCTAATAAAAATACTAACAAGCTATTTTATGGAGTTAGACAACTCGATACTAAAATTTATATGGAAAAATAAACATGCAAGAACAGCCAGGAAATAGCCAGAAAAACCCTAAAAAAGAGAAATTATGAGGGAGGACTAGCTCTACCTGATGTTTAAATATACTATGAAGCTTCTATAATTAAAACAGTGATACTGGCACATATACAGATAAATATACACGTGGAATAAAATAGTCCAGAAATTAATCCAAGTACATATAAAAATTTGGTTTATAATAAAGCTGGCATCCTAAATCACTAGGGTAATTATGGACTTCTTAATAAATGTCTCTGGGACAACTGGTGCCATTTCAAAAAACAATTAGATCCATACCTCACATAATACATGATAAATGACAAATGGATAAGGGATCTAAATGTATCAGAATAAAACCATTCAATTTCTAGAAGAAAATATGTGGGTGAGTTCTTCTTTAGCCTTAGTGTAGGGAAAAACTTTATAACTAATGACTAAAAATCTGGAGGCAAAAAAAGAAAAGATGGATAAATCTGACTACATAAAAATAATGTGCATGGTAAAAAACAATTTGGCAAAAACTGACAAAACCACACATTCACTTAACTTTTGACCACTTCTAGGAGCCTACTCTGAAGATACACCTCCAACAATAGGAAAATACATCTGCACAAAGTTGCAGCATTGTTTACAATAAATAGAAAAATACTGAAAACAATCTAAAAGACCATACATAGGAAAGAGGTTGAGCAAATTAGGATACATCCACACAATGAAGTACTATGAAGCTATAAAAAAAGAGTGAGAAATCCCTATAAACTGATTGGGAGTGATTTCTAGGATTTACCGTTAAGTGAAAAAAGCACAAAAAGTACAAAAGAATATCTATAGTATGCTATCATTTAATGTAATAAAGAGGATATAATAAATACACATGTATCTGCTCACTTGTGCATAAGAAACACAGGAAGGATAAATCAGTAACTAAAAAGACCAGTTACCTACAGAGGGCAGAGCAGAAAGGGGTGGAAAGAAGGGGGAACTGGGACAGGGTTGCGGGAGATGAGGAGAGCTCGACACTTTGCAAAGCACACCTTTTTGGAGAGCTTTAACCTCTAGAAACACTGTAATATTTTAAATGTACCATCCAAAATAAGTAATTAAATCAACCAGGATATGAAAGAAACTCAAGGGCCGGCCCCGTGGCTTAGTGGTTAAGTGCGTGCGCTCCGCTGCCGGCGGCCCGGGTTCGGATCCCGGGTGCGCACCAAGGCACCACTCCTCCAGCCATGCTGAGGCCGCGTCCCACATACAGCAACTAGAAGGATGTGCAGCTATGACAGACAACTATGTACTGGGGCTTTGGGG